AAAAAGAAAAAAGAAAAACACAGGAACAAAAAACCCATGGATATAACTGCATCACTTCTTCACATTTAAACTGCGGTGGTTTTTCACTGCTGTTACTCCAAATTCCTTTAAAAACCCTAGCATGTCACTCCCCACCCACAACTCATGCTCAACTCTATATACTTCAAATCATGTATTTTTTCACTTCCACCAAGATTCCCTTTTTATTACCTCTCATCCTTTGCGTAGAGTGTTTCTCCTGCTAAAAGTCCTTACCCCAAATTTTTAATCTAGATAAATCATCAACAGTTCACCAAATTTCAGTTTGTCACTTTTTCCAGGCATTAGCTGTGGGAGACCAACCTCACGTGTGACTGAGTTAACTCCCGTACTGGGCGATGTGGCGATGTGGCGTCAGGCACCCATGCTGCTACACTGTTCCATTCTTCTAGGGTTCAAGTGACTGTGTCCGGGCTCACAGCCCCATGGGTGGAGCTATGCTCACCTGTTCCTTTGTAATATAACGCATTGCCCTGTTTAGGATAGAATGTTCCATGGAAGTGCCTTATGTGTGTCCCCTTCTATTACTTACTGTGCCCTTGGGTGTGGCCTACCTAGATGTCAGTCAACCTGCTGACAGTGGACATCATGAAGCTAGACTCAGCCCCCCGAAACCTGACCCCTTGCCTCATTTGAATAGCCTCTCCTCAATAAAAGGGGTCAGCACGTGCTTAAGGTCAGAGGAGCCGTCACAGCAACCCCAAAGAAAAGGGTTATTTGTGTCTCTTGTGTGGTTATTTTGTGCAGTCCAGTTATCCCAGTTTACCTGGAGTGACCCCTGAGCCTTTTAATTTCGAGAACGAAACCCAACAATTATTTTTTTAACTTCCACCAAGATTCCCACCATTCAGTGTCTCCATTCAGTCATTAATAAATATTTATTAAGTGTCTAGTATAAGTAAAGAATTGTCATAGGTGCTTGAATATATACAATAAATAAAAATAACAATTTCCTTGCCTCTAATGAACACAGACTTCCATAACACTAATCACATTAAGACTATAATTACATATGTAGTCATCTTTCCTACTCAGACTAGTAATTAGCTAGCAAGCATGAGCTAAAACCAATTTAACTATAATAATCAATTCATAAAACATTAAGTGGATCAATACAACATCAAACAAATGTTTACTGAGCACTGATTTTATGACAGGGAGGACTACAGTCCTCAGCTTAGCTAGAAGATCCTAAAAGATTTCAAAGAATTAGCTTTAATATCATCTTAAAAGAATGGTAGCTAGGAAGTCAGAAGACTTCTATCTTTGCAATTATTCACCTTACCTCAAACCAATCATTTATTATTTCTGAACCTTATACCTTTAAGTAAAACATTGAAATAACAGAAGACATTCACAGTATTATTTATTTTTCAATGGGTTTAAAATAAGACTTGTTTAAACAGTTTGAAAAATCAGAACCAAGATGCAGTTCAAAAAGTGTAGGCTATATTAAAATATAAACCTTAGTACATTTAAGAAAATGACTGCTGGGTGTGGTATGGCACACACCTGCAATCCCACAACTCGGAGGCTGAGGCACGAGGATCACAATTTCAAAGCCAGCCTTAGCAACTAAGGCCCTAAGCAACCCAGTGAGAAACTATCTCAAAATAAAAATTTTTTTTATAAATAAAAATTTTTTTAAAAAGGTTGGGGATATGCCTCAGTGGTTAAGCACCGCTGGGTTCAATTCCCAGTACCAAAAAGAAAAGAGGAAAAAAAGAAAGAAAATGCCAGTAAATTTGGTAAGATGAACATAGAGTTAAATGAAACTACTTTATGAAATCATTCTTGAAAACTGAAATAAAAACTTTAGTTCATGTTCCTTCTGCTCATATTTTCCCAAAGACATCCTCCAATCAAAACTCTTTTATTATTTTCTTCATGGCCCAACTCAAATGATGAGGAAGACACTGAAACTGCGGATAGTATATCCATCAATCTCTCAAGAGAAAAACTAGTCTAAAAAACCAGTAGAGAGAGTTAAATCAAGTACTCTCAAAGTTAAATTTCTCTTGAACCTCAAATGCACAAGAACTAAACACCTTTCACATCCAGGTTGAAATAAAAGATAATCAAAGTTCTATATTTGGTAATTAACCTAAGAAAATCCTTGTAGGGAGAGCAAGAAATGGAGGTCAATCTCCAACTCTGTGTTCAATTGCCATAGCAGAAGCCACATCAAGGAAAAATTATAAATTGATCCCACATCAAGGGGAAGAACCTCTCCTTGCTTTGGATTTACTAGAGGACAATCAAGCTTCAGTCATAAAAATCCCAGGTGTCTACTAATCCAACTAGCCAAATTTCAAATACAGAATGACATCACCAGTCAAAATGCTTTAACAATTTTAAAATGCTTCATTTCTGAAGAGACTATATTTTTATAAATATTACATTACATATCTATGATGATAATACAAAATTTTCCAAAATTTTTTTTTCAGCAGCTAGCTTCCTAAGCTATAGGAATCAAAAATGCTATCAAAGTTCTTGACTATGGCTCTTCAATTTCTTCCTCCATCATTTTTCACCTATTAGGAAATGAATAACTTCCCTTCTTACATATGTACCAATCTCAGAGCTCTGGTGACACCATAAGTTAGTGCATAGTACTTATATGTGACTAATCTATTAATATGCACTTAGTATACACAGTATACCAGGCACTGCATTTTTAAAATAAATGAGACATGAGTAGTGTCTACCTTTAAAGAGCTCACAGTTTAATAAAGAAGACAACCTACTGCAATATGGCCAGGCCTACCATCAAAGCTCATGAGATGATGCTTGAAACAGAATATTTGAGAAAAAAAAGACAGCCAAGAGAAGAAGTATTAGCAATTGAAGTGGAGGAGGGTGGGGTGGGGGGATGTAACAACTTATACTTAGTACAGGAGTATGAAATATCATACTTAGTTTATTCATCTAATTCTAGGCATGTGGGCATAGCTATAGTGAAATAATTGCATGCCATGGTATAGAGCTTACATTTTATTCTGCAGGTGATAGGAAACAATAAAAGAGACAGAGGAAGAAAGTAGCATAGAAAAGTTGGCAAGTGAAACCAGAGATTTGGAAAACTCATTTAACAAAATTATAGGCAGAATATAAATATTTATAGTATATTCATATGATGTAGTATTACTCAGCAATAAAAAATAATAAAAATTATAAACTATGCATATACTCACCTCAAGAATGAAAACATCATAGTGAATGACAGAGGTCAGATACAAAAGAGTACTTACTATGTAATTCTATGTATATACATTCCAAGCACAGCTAAAATTAACTATACCAATAGAATTTAAAAGGTTGCTTACCTCAAGGGAAGGCTACTGGATTGGAAAGAGGGAAAGCAAAGGAAAGTTTCTGGGATAATAAAAGTTTTTATGTTTTGATCTGGATGATAGTTACATGTGCAAATATACATATAAGACGACATGTAAATTTTACACTATATTATGTATGTTACACCACAATAAAGAAGAAAAGAACACAATTATGGTTGAATTAAGGTCAAACAAGTTAAACCAGTGTCATGCCAAAAGCAATATCAAACTTGTAAGTAATGAGAACAAAGATTTTAATAGACTCCATATATTCAACTAATAAACAAAATCTCTTTTGGACACTAAAGTACAAGTCTGGTTTATTCTCTACTTCAAGAAGATTATAATACACACACACACACACACACATACACATACACACACACACACCTTTTTTCTTTATAATAAAAGCTATAAAAATAGAGTATTATTCCTCAAGAAAAAGAAAAACCCTGTTAACCAAAACTTTTTCTACATAGCAGTACCTACCATATAAGTACTACTATAATAATTAATAAAGAATAAGAAGCATTTAATAGAATTCACATAAGTATTCTTTACACTAACAATATACTTGCTATGATTAAATCAAAGATTGAAATTACACTGGTACTAGGGATTGAATCCAGCAGTGCCTTGAGACAGAGTCTCTGTATACTGCAGAGAGTCTTGCTAAATTGCTGCAGCTGGCCTCAACTTGAGATCCTCTTGCCTCAGCCTCCCAAGTCACTGAGATTACAGGCATGCAACAGTGTATATGGCTCATTATAGACTTTCATTTTTTAAGCAAACACTGAGATCAACAAATCTTTGGCAAGTTAGACAAAGACTAAATTAATTGCAATTATATCAATGTATTCTTTTCACTGAATATCCAATAGCCATATTCATTTATTGATGATAAATATAATTTTTAGCATTTCAAGAGCTTAAATTATTAAAAAGCATTCTTTTACATACCAGGTCAAAAGTGTATAATCTTTTTTTTTTTTTTTTTTTAATTTTTTTTATTGGTTGTTCAAAACATTATAAAGCTCTTGACATATCATATTTCATACATAATCAAAATTCAAAATTTACAAAGTCAACAGTCTTAGGAGAGCTAATCAGAATGCTACATTTCTAGAAAAGTCCTTCAGTAAATATGCCCACAAGAAAAACATTAAAGGAATAACTTACAATTCTGAACATTAACAGAAGTAACAACTTGGAGAATTTCATTAACAGAAATAACAAAGTAAAATTCATGGAAGCAACCAAAGAGAACAATGAAGCAAGCCAACAGATTTTACACTGAATGATGAAGTGTTCCTTCATAGTGGCTAAGCCAAACACCAACTTGATTTCCTAACATGTTAGAAAAGTCACTGGAAATCTGTATGCATTAGAAACCCTGAATGCAAAAAAGAAGGAAAATAAAAATTTAGATCCATAATCTGATGGTTGCTTTTTAGCACCTATCCAATCAATGAGATCAAGTCAATTTGTCAAAGTCAACTCATATTTTAAAATTTTATTAAAAATTCCATTGATTCTGGACTTTTGAAGATATATTTTTAAAACATAAATGTTTTATGTTATTTCTACTTCAATATGTAATATTTAAAGTAGTCTTCTACTTACCTAGATTTTGTCTTATTAACATCTTGCTGCAAGAACAATCTCATCCGAAATTAAATCCAATCTGAAAAAATACATGTAAAAACCATCATTTAGGATTTTTTTTGTTTATTTGTTTCAGGCATGAATAACTACATTTACAATACCCTATTCTTTTAAATTAAAAACTGCAAACAAAATTATTTTCTTGATAAAGCATTGAAAACATAGTGTTAACTAAAACAGGAACTTGCTAAATACCTTTTTAGAGGAACAATAACCTATTCACAATGAAAAATTTCCTAGTTTTCTTTTTTAAAATTTCTGTAACAACTTGTTTTCATTAATAGTTTGGCAATTATAATAGTTAAAATCAGTAGTTATTTCTCTACAGAGAACTTGGTTCCAAGACCCCTTAAGGATACCAAAATCTGCAGATGCCCAGGTCCTTTATAGAAAATGGCAGTCTTTCTATATAACCTACGCATATCCTTCTGTATTTTTAAATCATCTCTACATTATATAGTACCTAATACAATGCAAATGCTGTGTAAATAGGTGCCATATTATATTGTTTAGTGATCAACAAGAAAAAAAAGAATGTACATGTTTAGTATAGAAATGTTTTCTTTCAAAAACAATTTTGATTCAGGGTTAGTTGAATGGGTGGATGCAGAATCCATGGATAGGGAGAGTGTGCTTCCTCATAAAACATACTTCAAGGTCAGAATTTATATAATACTTATACATAACAAAATCACAACAAAAAAGCTGGAGATAAAAAAGAAAGTATGGCATGGCATAAAAGAATATACTTTTAGTCGTCATAATAGCTAATATTGAAGCATTAAGAACCATTATTCAGAAAATAACATATATTGTTATTCTTCTGCTTCCCCAATTTAACCCTCAATCTACTATAGTGACTTCTTCCCCCAAAATCTACAGAAAATGTACTTACCAAAAACCTACCTATTCCTATTGTACCACATTTCACAAATTCTAAAAACTCAGTATATTGTTGCCTAAATTCTATTTATCTCCTGCTCTACCTGAAACCTACTTATTATTTTCAATTCTATATTCTTAAAAAATGGCACCAACATACTTATTTCCAACTGTCAACCTAAATTACTCTTAACTTTTCCATTTTCAAACTTACTATCATCTCAATTTGTCCTTTCCAGAACTATGAATGATCACTTTATAATGGTTATCCTAACATGTACCTATGCTTTAAGTTTTGCTTCCACGTGGTAAACTACAAATATCTACCTGTATCTACCTTCTACCTCCCTTTAACTTTGTTTTAACAGTTTTATTAGTCCTTCAATATTTACCTCAGTCACCCTGGCAGATACTTCTTTAATTCCTTCAGCTTTAAAAAATCCATTTTCTCAATTACTGTAGCAACTAACTGGTGAAAGCTGCCTGTCAACACTTTCTGCTTCTTTGTATATTTTCTAAACCATAGTATGAACATATTGAGGACAAGAACTCACTTATTTTGTTTCAGCATTGTCACTGGCTGGCAGATGAAAGCCTAAACAATGTGGGCTAAATAAGAGATTCAAATTTTGCTTGTATCTCAAAATGTATGTAGAAGATAACCCAAGTAAAATTCAGGCTAATGAGTCAAATTCACATCTTTGAGGACTGGATAAAAAAGTCATTATCACTTCTGGATGTAAAAATGCTACTTTACAGCTAAACATGGTGGCATATGCCTGTAATCCCAGCGGCTCAGGAGGCTGAGGCAAGAGGATCACAAGTTTGGTTCCTCCAAAGCCAGCCTCAGCAACTTAGAGAGGGCCTAAGCAACTTAGCAAGACCCTGTCTCAAAAAAAAAAAAAAAAAAAAAAAATCATTGAGGATGTGGCTCAATGGTTAAGCATCCCTGGGTTCAACCCTGGTACAAAAAAAAAAAAAATTACTTTATGAAATAACCACATTTAAGTAAAATACAACTGACATAAATTAACCCACCACACTCTTTTGAGTGAATTATTTAATTTCATTGATTTTTCAATACCAAGACTTGGGGACTAAATGCTTCTATCCCTGCACAAAAATGGAGTTTGTGAACCAGAATTACTAGATTTATTTAAATATTAGCCTTAAGCAGAAGAAGGTTAGAGAGTAAGACAAATATAGTTCTTGTAGTATCAATTTAGAAAAGTGCTTCTCAAACTTTATTGTCCATCAAAATTACCTGAAGGGCTTATTTCAGATTGCTACAGTCTGCCCCCAAAGTTTCTACTTTGGTAGGTCTACATGAAGCCCATGAATCTGCATTTCTAGTAAGTTCCTAAAGTGATACTATTTTGAGGATCACATATTGAAAACCAGAGCTAGAATTTTCTATGCTGTCTAGATGAGAATATTGTCCCTGTCAACCAACGCCAGAACTGTTACTTGTTTTAAACTAAACTATAAAATCAAAGTGAAAGCATTAAAAAACCCACAAAACTCCATATAAACTGCTGAGTGTAACAAGCTGTAAATGGCCCTACAAATATTATCCAGCCTAATCCCTGGAACCTATTATGTTACCTTATAAGGAGAAAAATGGGGGGGGGGGGTGGAGAGTGCTACAGGAAATATGATTAGGGAATTTGAAATGGAGAGATTATTTGAGATCATCTGGGTAGGCCTAGTTATAATCACATGTACGCTTAAAAAGGGAGGCAGCAGGGGAAATTTGATTACACACAGAGGAAAAGGCAATTAGAAGACAGATCATAAACATTTGAAAATGTGGCCACATCCAGGAATATCAGCAGTCACCAGGATCGGGAAGAAGCAAAGAATGGACATTCCTCTAGAGTCTCCAGGTGAAGAACAGCTATGCCAACACTATGAGTTGGGCTCTGTAACAATGATTTCAGACTTCTGGTTCTGTAATAATAATTTCAGAACTGAGGGAGAAACCATTTCTATTATTAAAACCATTCAGTTTGTGATAATTTGTTAGAGCAGTCACAGGAAACTAATACTAAAGATAGCAGATTCTCAAGGAAATGGATTTGAAGTACCTTTACAAAAGGTGTTAGTTTATAAACTGACTAATGTGACTAATCCCAAATTTGACTCTATTTGAAGAAAAGGCATTTCAGTAGGTAAATAAATTAGATGAGGTCAAAAAGATGAGGCCCTAACACAATATGACTGGTATCTTGCAAGAGAGCCCAGGCACATATATACAGAGAAAAGGTTATCTGTGCAAGGATAGAGGCCTCAGGAGAAACAAAATCTGCCAAGAATTTGATCTTGAACTTCCTTCAGAACTGTGAGGAAATGTTTCTTTTGTTTATGCCACCCAGTCAGTGGTATTTAATCTCCAAGCAGATTAATAAATGAAAAGGATACATGTAGTTGCTAAATACACTTAAAATCGATTAAAATGGTAAATTTTATGTTATGGACATTTATAACAACAAAAATAAAAGTATATATAAATGTCATATGTGCACATAAAATAACATAGCTTTATAACTTCAGCTATAGTAATATAAGAAAATCTGAAAAAAACTTTTAACCACATTTGTCCCCCCAAACCAAACAACCATGTTTTAGACACATTTTTTAAAATTATTATTTATTTTTATTTTTAATCAACAAATAGTAATTGCATATATTATATATTTATGGAGTACAATGTGATGTATTGGCATGATTTTACATCATGGGATAATTAAATTACACTACTTAACAAATCTATCCATTCACAGACTTACAAATTTTTTGTGGTAAAACATTTAATACCTAACTTTAGCAATTTTAAAATATACAATGCATTATTACTGTTGTTACGATTCTGTGCAATAGATTATGAAAACCTATTCTTCCTAAAAGAAATTCTGTATCTTTTAATCAACACTGCCCCTTTCCCCATTCAGTCCTCCAATCTCCACACAGCCTGAGCAAACACCAATTTACTCTTTATTTCTAGGTTCAACATTTTTAGATTCCTCGTATAAATGAGTTTATGTGATATTCGTCTTTCTGTGCTGACTTGTTTCACTAAGCATTAAATCCACTAGGTTCATCCATGTTGCTGAGGATGACATAAATTCCTTCTTTCTAAAGGTTGAACAAGCACTCTATTGTGTATACACATTTTCTTTATCCATTTCATCCAATGATGGATAGCTGGGTTGCTTCTATGTCTTTGTTATTGTGAATAATGCTTCCATAAACACAAGCAAGCAAACAACTCTTCAGCATACTGTTTTCAATTCCTTTGGATTTATACCCAGAAATGGGATTATTAGATCATACGGTAACTCTATCTTTTGTTTTCTGAGAAACCTCCATACTGCTTTCCATAAGGGCTAGTTCTTCATTTATATTCCCACCAAAAATACACAGGGTTCCCTTTTTTCCGCACTCTTGCAAATACTTACAATATCTTTTTGATAATAACAATTAGATTTTTTTAAAAGGATCTTCTAGGTAAATCTGATAGAAGTACTGTAAAATCCACACCTAAAAAGTATTATTAGAATATTACTTAGGTGAACACTGGGAAAGGGGTCCAGAAAAGAAGAAAACACTTTAAGTAGTTGGTATTAAAATATCAAATATATCTTCCCTAAAACCTGAAACCACAGCCTAATCATGAGAAAAACATAAGACAAATTCCAAGAGTTGAAAAATCCAACAGTATATCTGACCAATACTCCTCAGAACTGTTAAGGTCATTAAAAACAAAGTCTTGAGGGACCTAAGGAGAAATGTCATATTTGAAATATGACATCTGAAACAGAAAAAGAATATTAGGTAAAAACTAAAGAAATCTGAATAAACTATGGTCTTTATTTAATAATAAAGTGAAAATATTGGTTCGTTAATTTTAGCAAATGTACCATACCATTGTAAACTATTAATCATAGGGAAAAAGGAAGTGAGGGGAATGTATGAGAACACTATACCATTTTGCATAAATTTTCTGTTAAGTCTAAAACTTTAAACAAAGTCCATTAATTTCAAAAATATTTAAGTATTTTGAAGAGACATAAACATACTTTAAAAAATGAAAGTGAAAATTCAAAAGATTTCAACTTAAAATTCAGAAGAATTAAA